TCTCATCAGATATAATGCATGTCGGATGCGGCCAATAAAACTCGATGAGAATAATATCGCCTTTCATTCATCTTTTATAATCATTATTGCAACTTTCAACTTTGTATCAAAGCCGAAGAACTATACCTGTCTCTGATGAATTATATAAATGCTGTTCGATTCTTTTTTTTTTTCTTTTTACAAGAACAGAAGTATCGGATGGGACTTTTTCATCAGTCGGTCGCGTAATCGATCGGAAAATACTGGCGCTGGAAAACGCTAGACTTCTCTCCACTGTTATATTAAATTTAAACGCCGCGCTGTGTGCGCAGCACGAAATCCAATAAATTAGTTCGCATGAATACATTGGGCAGTCTCGCGACACGTAGTTTCAATTAATCCGCTCATAGCTTCTTGCCATTACGAAATATATAGGGTGTCTTTCTTAACTGCCACGAAATAACAGGATAATAAATTCTACGTGAAAAAAATAAATTGGAAAAATAAAATAAAATTTTTTACGCGAAAAAATTCTAGTTTTAATAGTTTGCAAGCTCTTCTTTTTTTTGTTAAATTTCGATAAAAATGGTTTCAATTTTAAATGGCCGGCTTTCGTGAACAGTATCGAAACTACTAGTAATGTTAATAGCGTTTGAATATAAATAATCTCATTATTCATTAAGATATTTCAATATTGCATTAAGAATAAGATTCTCGGGAACGGATCGATTGACTCGCGGTAATATCTTGAACATGCGACGACCGAGATATCACTGATAGAGTGATCTAGTCACGGGGACAGAAAGTTAAACGCGTGAAATAATGACGATCATGGCTATTCTTAATCAGAGTCGCAATACGGGACAAGATTCTTACGACCAGAAAACTGGTCGCGATCCCGTATACGTCTGGGTAGCATATACATATATATATATATATATATATATATATATATATATATACAGTGAATCGTAAATTCTTCTCAATTGTCGTATTCTCAATCGATATTTTTTTATATATTGTGTACGGAAAATTGTATAGCATCTCTCAATGAATTTTTAAACAAATAAACGGAGACACATGTGCATGTGTGCGTGTATTGTCGAAAAGAACCAACGAATTCAGTCGAGACCTATGGCATGCATATACACCGTTTGCATATTCTATAAATCTGTATTGAATATTGCATTTGATTTTAGCGTATATTGATTATTCATTGAACGACGACAATTCATCATTCATTCGGTGCCGAAAACTTTAGATGCAAATATCTCAGAATTATATTTCTGCAATCGAAGTGCCAGTCAGCTTTATGACAGTTTATAATTGTTCGATAAAAACATTTTTATCACTTATTAATCCATGTGAAATACTATAAATGTATCAAATTTTAAAGCGAGATTTTTGATAAATATTTTTTAGTGGAAATATTAATTTTAACAATATTTTCCAATTATTATTAATATTAATCTTGCTTTTTTTTTATTTATTTGTGTGTGTAATTCTAGTTTATTGTAAAAATATAATAATTTTGTAACTATATACGTATATGTATATATTACGAGTAATGTTTTAAATTTTTTAATATATACATATCACATATTTGAAAATTTTACGTTTTCAAAATAATTTTACAATATTAAATGTATTTATATAATGTTGAAACATTATACAAACCAAACAATTTAAACGTATTTGTACAATACAAGGAAAAACAAATATACATATATTATTTAACTAAAATTTTATTATAACATGTGTAAACTTAAATTTATTATAATACAATTCATGTTAATAAATTTATTTTAATTTGTATTGAAACTAAATTTATATGAAAAATAATGAAACGGCAAAATTACATGTATCTATAATTAAATCTTAAATAAATTTTGCAGTAAAGTAAAATTTATTTAAAATTATTGATATGAAAGTTTATCTTTGCTTCTTTAGAACTTGACTCGTGAAAACTTTTTATCATTCTTTAATCCATTAGCTAATATCTTAAAAACTGTCCTTACATTTTCATTGAAATAATATTTTTATTTTTTAAGAACCCCTATTTAGCAAAAATTATTTCCAAGCAATCAATTATAAAATGATCTGTTTCTCTCTTATTAAACATTATCTATATATATGTTATTGTGTATGTAAAATTTATAATAAAATATTTAAGAATATAAACAAGAGAACACAATGATCTATTTACGATCATTACTGTTATGAAATCATTACAGGAAAAATACTATAAATAATTTATTAGATAAGATATATATACAGAGTGTCCTATTTTAAATGATCCAGCCAAATATCTCGAAAACTAAACCCAGTAAACAAAAATGTTTCAGACAAAAGTTGTTTGACTCGGAGGGGGACATAAGATAAATGTAATTCATTTATTCTTTTTAATTATTAAATTCTATTTAATTATTAAATTGTGTAAAGTAATTACTATGATAATCATAGCCAAATCATCATATTCCAAAATACTATAATTAAGTTACTTTTCGTTAAGTACTAGTTAAGTTATAACAGTGAAAAAGAATAAATATCATCTAAACTTTAGGGAATAAATATTAATATTTCTAAAAATAATGTTATTTATTTCTTTATGAATTATAAGAAATAGGGTTCCTAATAAAGTAAATGGTTGTATGTGCTATGATTATCATAGTAATTACTTTACACAATTTAATAATTAAATAGAATTTAATAATTAAAAAGAATAAATGAATTACATTTATCTTATGTCCTCCTTCGAGTCAAACAACTTTTGTCTAAAACATTTTTGTCTACTGGGTTTAGTTTTCGAGATATTTGGTTGGATCATTTAAAATGGAACACACTGAATATGTAATATATATATATAAACGTCAGGCCGTAAAATTTAATCAATATTAATATTTAATCAATTGTATACTTCCGTTCATTTATTGTTCCGATAGCTATATCTGAAGCCTATTACTATCTTCCGTGCTGCTTTCCGTATTTTTATATCATCTGATGACCTCATTATTGATACTTACTTTTGTATTATCATTATCGCAAATGATGTTCCAAGAAGTTGATAAATTTATAAAGAATCTTAAATTTATAGACGAACGTATATTTAGGAAATGGCATCTTTGATTAAATCCTTAGCACAATTCTCCGACAATCTAACAGTAAGTAGTAAAAGAAGTGAGATTTAATTGGAAATTTAATGTATATATTTTTATGTCGATAGATAGTCATATTTTGCGAAAAATATCCGAAAAATTAGATCTTTAAAATGCAAGATAATTTTTCTTCGCAATTTTTATACCTAATTTTCTTGTAGTATGCATATCATGAATTTTACGTGTTGTATGAAAGGAGAGATGTTTAGCGCTCTCCTAAACAGAGATGAATAAACAGATGTAATAGGCACTGTCGTCTGTTGACGGCATTTACCATGTCATGAATTCTACATATATAAAAATATTTTATTGTAACGGCGATATTGTAAATTTATGATCTATATAAAAAGTAAAGTTAGTCATTCTTTTATACTACGTACATATACTATTTAAAATAAAGCATTTATGCACGCGCGCGCGCGCACGCGCACACACACACACACACACACACACACACACACGGCAGCAGGTTTGCTCTCTACAAATATCTTGAATCTTATAATAAATTATCCAAAATTTAGTAAATGAAAGATGAAAGGTACAATACAGATTTGTTAGTATTATTTTATTATTGTACAAAAAAAACATAAATTTTGAACAGTGATAGAGACAGTTTTTTTCTAAAATTAATTACTAAAATATTATAAATTTTAAAAAGACATTAGATTCAAGTTAACATTAATCAGTCAAATTAACAATAGGAAAGAATCTTTATTTTAAATATAGATAGGAAATAAAAAGGTATTTTACATACATAGGAAAGAATTTTATGGATTAATTATTTTTTATTCTTCTTTATGACTAGCCTGTCCAATTTTAGCTCCGAAGCCATTAATGTGAAAGAATCAATATGGATATGATTTCGAGAACAGTAAAGTGCTCTGATATGCATCTGAGCGATGTTTATCAACATTTTACAGTCTCCGAAATCTCATTCATATCGAATTTCTTTGCATCGATGGCTTTGCATTTTAGCTGCGGAGTTAAAAGTGGACAGAGCTGCTTCATGAACTTTTTCATGAAGAAGAAAACGAATTAGATCTATCAGGGTTCGGAACTCCGATAATCCACAGATTGTATATGACATACGTCTACGTGATTTAGAAAACTAAGAAACGCACTATGTGATTCGCAACAATCCGCAGGATTAGCGATAGGACTCTGATTCGCTTCTCTCCTCCTGCCACTGCAGCTGCTGTCGCGTGTGTGTGAGTGCCATAGCCCATATATAGATGCCCCTTTGCCGGGCTGCAGCCTTATAGAATTCGAGGCTACCACCGTGAGTACATCGTCGCGTCAGGTGCATCTCGAAGCTCGTATCCCTTTACTCTACGTTCGCTCGCGTGAAAGCTGAAACTGAGACGCATCTCACTCGACATCCGAATAGTGTCGAATTCCTCCTCTCTCTCTCTCTCTCTCTGCGAGTGTTCTGATAATTCCGAAATATCGCGAGAGGGGAATTAAAAAAGTATTACACAACAAATATACAATTTATATTTATCGGATGATTTACGTCAGTAATAAGATTTCATCAGCAACATCCAGTGATAGACTCGCAGTGGACGTTGTACGACGCGTTATAATGATGCGCAGAAATTGATTGATCTTTGATTGAAACGCCGAGTTCTCTTCAAGTGCGCCGTACGAATCGTATACGTAGTGCATCGAGCGGCTTTGCGCGGTGCAGTTTATATATGGACGTTAGACAACAAACAGGCGTTTACTCTCGCGCGATCATGCAGCTTGACAACAGGAGTTCGACGCGGCCCACGGACGTTTCCTGGTGCACGTGCATCCTGTTGCTGCTCGCGTGCGCGATTGTCCCTTCGATCGATGCTATCGTTCATTCCTATACGAACATTTCAGACCTGGAATGCAAGGACACGGACTTCAAGTGCAGTAACGGCAGATGCATACCTAATATATGGCATTGCGACGGCGATCGAGATTGCCCGGACGGGATTGACGAGGACCCCGCTCTTTGCAGTAAGTTGTTATTTTTTTTTTATAATGCATGTAATATGTATAAATATTGTGACGTAAAATTACTTAATTTGCGTTAAAATTCATCGAGATTACTGAGAGAAATATGGGTCGAAAAAAAAAAATATGGTTAGTTTGTAAAAAGAAGTCGAATTTAATGAGGCAAGAGAAAAAGAAATCCAAGATAATATTCGAATCGACAGTTTTATCTTGTTAATTTTTTTAAAACTTAATCGAATTTGTCTGAATCGTGAGATGTTAACACATACAAGCTATGTATAATATAAAAAATTGATATAATTTGGGTAGTTAATAAATTTTTTTAATGATACAAGAACGAGAGTCTTGATTTTAATACTTATTTCTTATTTATTTAAGAAATTAATATGTAAAAACAAATTCGAGAATTTTTGAAATTTATAAAATTAATATATATAGTTTTAACAGTTTTTTTTTTTTGACAATCAAATCCATCAAATGAATCGCTTTATGATTACGAATGAGCCGAATATGAAAAGTTTTAATTAGTTTTATAGCAGATTAAGAAAAATTTTTAATAATTAAATTTTGAAAGTTAATTACTGGTATATTTAAAAGCCAATTCAATCGCAGATTAAATATTTGCCGAGGTAAGGTAAACGTGAAATTAATATCTCTCCACTACTACCAATAAAGTATATTTATTAGCATTTACCTTTGAGAGAGATTGCCTTGTATACTTACATATGTATGCGGAATGCGAAATTCGTGATTAATGCGTCTGTAATGTAAAAATCTATTAATTTTATAAACGCTTTATAAATTTCACTTTTACAAAAGCAAAGGTGCACTTTGTACAGAGCAGAGACAACGAAGAGATCTTTGCATATTTCATAATAGAAAATTTATACACGCTATCCGTACAGTGTTAGCATCATTTTTTCATCAAGGCATAACTCAGAATACCGATAAAACTTAAAAGTTGACTGACTTTCTTATGAACGACGTTATTGCATTGTCGTGTCAAATGATTGAATGAATATTTAACCGAATATAGTGCATCCGAATATAGTTTGTAAAAGGTCCCGGTATGTGAAAGTACAACTTTGGAGACCGGTTTTTCAGGCAGGTGAAGCGTACTGACATACAGGGTGTCCCTCACTAACGAGGTTATTTTCTATTTTGAGAATATTTGATTCTAGTATTCTAGATTCCAGTATTATGGTTTGACTGTTTGGTGAAATCTCGCGCCAATGTCAAAATGTATTTTTTTAATTAAAATTGTAAATCACCTAATATTCTCCAATTAATTACTAGATCATACGTATTTGCATATATATATATATCCACTCTCGACGTACAATATGTATCGTGAGGCAGAAATTGATGCTAATCGATTAGTTTAATCGAATCTCATCGATCCTTGAAGGTCGCAACGGCGATCGTAATTACATAGTGGAATGCGCATTTAATATTAATTAGTGCACACGCTGACGCAAAGCCCTTTTGACCGATATAATTACGCGTGCATTTAATCATTTCAATTATGATGTAAATTGCACTTTAGATCATTAAAAATCCTCTTAAATTATAAAGTAGAGAAATACGATTGAGTTTTATCGTCGCACATTTCAATTTTCATGGAAAACGTAGAAACGCGATAATCTTTCTGATATATAAACTATCCACTTCTGTTATTTGTTCGTAACTATATGTATAATATATAGTTATATATATATATATATAGCGTTGAATTATTTCATCATTGTCTATGTATTTAACAAATGGACTATATATAACGAATTATTTTATTCTGAATAAATTTGAGACTTTTTGTTAATTAATAGACATGTCAAGTGAATGACAACAACATTTTTCGGATAATTTTAAACAGAATGTTTTATGAAGTATAGTCAACTTTTAAGTTTTATAAAAATATACAACATCAAAAAGTAGAAAATTGCGATTAATTTTTATTATCCAGAAGGAGATGCCTTTAATAAGAAAGCATTCTATACATTTATTATACAACGTTCCTTGATATTCGCGCAGTATTATTTCATAAAAGAGATACTTCACGTTTTGTTACAAAGAAATGATCGTATAGGCATTTAGGTCTTTTATTCGAACTTGAATCTGAAAACACAATGACATGCTAATAATTGAATGTCAAAGGTTAGCGACTACTTCGTTTGCCTATATAATCAAGACATGTTTTATACATGATAATATCGAAATATCTATACTAAGCGTTTGGCGTTCAATATTCTTAACATCGACATCTTATTCGTCATACGAATGAAGTATTGACATTTATAGACAAACTGAAGTCTTAATTACTTCTATAATTCACAGTAAATTTCTGGGCCAATTTAGAATTCCCCACATTTATAATTTTTGTTATACATTTTAATATCACGTTTAATATATATATACGTGCATTTTAATAATTTAATGTTGGTTTTATATATGTATGTATTATAATCTTCTTTTGAAATATTTATTATTATTATATATAAAATTGACGTATGAAATTATAAAATTCTATTCTAAGTTCTTACAAAAGGTTGAATCATCTAAAGTAAGCTTTAAAGAACATTGTCGGTCGCTTAATAAGCATAAAATACGAATTAAATAAAAGAAAAACGGATATAGGAATTAAGATTCAAAACTTAGGCCTTCTGAATTGCACATATAAAGATTATCGTCTTAACTAAAGCATTTTTAATGAAAGGTAATAATTTATATTAAATAAATATATAAATCGTATCATAAAGATGTTCAAAAAATATCTTTTAGATTTTTTAGACAACGTTTAAATGTTTTTCAGAAATTTGAGAAAATATTGCCTATGTTGTAGCAATATTGAAAGTATGACTTTAAGATTATTTAAGTCTTAAAAAGATAATTAATCGAGAATATTGAATCGAACAAAAGGGTCGATACCGTGCAACGAAAGGGAGTTTGAATGCAGTCCGGGCGAGTGCATTCCGAAGACGTGGCAGTGCGATCATCAGGCAGATTGCTCCAACGGTCTGGACGAGAAGGATTGTTACAGTAAGTCGCGCGGATAAGTACTTTAGCGTAGGTGTTACCGGAAAGCAGCCAAGGAGGGACGAGATCAGCCGGAAAGCTACGGAACAAATGACAAAGCGCAAATTGCAGAATCTCAGATTGCATCCTCGCACTCTCAATACATTCTACCGCAGCTTGCGACTTGCAAGAAAGTTGTGTTCTCAGTCTATTAATTGCATGTATTGAAACAGGAAATAATGGCAAATAACTTATTCAATACAAAATAATTTGGGGAAATCGATAAAGTGATAACAGGCATAATAATCGGTGAAATCAATAACAATTAATGCAATTTTTACATTACAGGCATAATCACTATTTTTGTTTAACTTAATAACTAATAAAGTAAAATTTTCAATATTTTTGTAGAACGTTATTTTTGTGCATGCTATTTATTAATATATAATAAATCTTCAAATGACATTCTATGTGGTGATCTAATAATAATAGATGATATAAGCTTTCACAAATAATAAAATAATAAATTAACAATGTAGATATAGCTAAGAAGTAATAAAGCCAATTTTATATGTCAATCAGCTATAAAGAGCGGAATATTTTTGTTCAGAATTTGACTTTTTTATATTGGCTCCTTAGATTGAAAAGGTATTTAAACAAATCTTAATTTTCTTGGTCAGAGTTCTGGGAGTGTGTGTTTAAGTCTACTTTGGTCTACTTTACAGTTTACTCTTATATAAACGGGGTATTATTTCAAACTTCTGCATACGCTTTCGAATCTGCACCCCTTATGCGAGGATGCAATCTATCTTTCTTAGTTTATCGCGAAACCGACCGTCAATCGCAGTATCCACTTTGTCGGGGCTCGCGCCCTGCGCCGTATAATCGCGTACAAATTCAGTACAATGCAATTGTCATCTTGTAGAGAACAAGACCTGTACACCGGAACAATTCACGTGCCATTCGGGAAATGGCGAGTGCGTGCCATTAACATGGATGTGCGACGGCAGACCTGACTGTTCGGACAAATCAGACGAGGCTGAATGCAGTAAGCTTCTGCACGTGGGCTACTTTTTCCATACGCTTGTATACTTTCTTCTCTCGATTTTTTTTAAATCTGTTTTTTTATCTGTGCCTTCTCGTGTATTGCACGTTACATTTCGAAAGTAAATAGCCGAAATTTTTTGGTATACATGTATTGACTAGTTTTTGCATGAAACTCTTTAAAATACATTGTGCATCTTGAAAACTCTAAGCGGTATATCGCGACTATTTTTAGAAAAAAATATTTCAATTGTCCATTTTTAAATAGAGCTTTAATTATAAATCTATATGAAGTTTAAGATGCAAGTATATATCTATATATTGAAACTTTGGTTACGTTTACATGGTCACCATTAAATCTGGTTTAATAACATTCATAGTTACGAAACTGACCAACTATAACTATTTCTCTGAAGAATGGAATGACTGTGATTGGCCAAATTCTAACTATAATTATTAAACTTGATTAATAGTATTGTAAACGTAGTCACTGTAGATAGCTTTCTACAATTATACATTAAAAATATATAAATTTTATATCAAATATATAATTTTAATATCATTAATGTAAACGTAGATATACGTAGTTATCGATGTCTGAGATAAATTGTATCGATGTTTTTAGTCGAAAACAATCATAGTTGAGAGTTGGTGATGGGATAGTGTTTCCTTGGGACAAGCCAAAATCTTTGATTGGTGAAGGTTGCTTATGTAAGGAAATTGTGATGATTATCGTGAATCTATAAGAAAAAGAATCTTAAATATGGTAACACACACAAAATGATTGTAATTTGAAATCGTTAATAATTGCTTTGAACTACTTCTCAAATGCATACACTTTATAAGTAAATTGCTCGTTTTACATCGTATCTCACATTTTATAAAAGGCTTACACAAATTACATTATTTATATTTTTATTAGCTGTAATTATCAGTGCGTTGATTCATTGACGATGTTCCTGTAATGCGCTGATTTTCGTCGATTTTTCTTTCCTTGCTACTTTGCCGGCCAATAGCGTTAAGATTTGCAAGAATTAATTGTGGGTAGAAAGTGACTCAAAAAATTTATTAAAAATTTTATTTGAAACCGAGAAGTCTATTTAAATATCATATACATATATACATATATATGTTTAAATGAATTTATGATATCTTTGTCGCTGTCCATTTATTCATGGTTATTATATATAAATTAGCACTAAAGTGATTTTATTTAAATAAAAAAGATTGAATTGGAAATTGACTACCCATGACTTAATTATTGTACTTAATAATTGATTATATTTTTTATTTTCTTCATATATCTTTGGAGTCATTGTAAGTATATTATACACTTATTATCTCTTGTGTCTCTCAATTGGAGAATTTCCGATCGTAATAATTGAGAGTGCAATTTAATATGTAGCTTTTTTCGTAAAATGTTAGATAAAGTTGTGTCGCAGATACCGCTTGCTAGAGAAGCAGATAATTATTCTGCTTGAAATTACGAATGACTGCCGGGAACCTCTAATTTCCTTGTGGAACTTGTCTCTTTGAAAGTGCAAATGTTTGCGATTACAGAATACGTAACGGTGTGTAGTGAGAGAAAAAAAAAAACAGATTTTCTGCTATATAAAAACAATTAATAAACATGTTGCTCCCTAGGACGGTATTTGCGCACGAGTCATTACGTTAAAGCTATTTATGTCAGTCTTATCATAAGTAGGTCTTCGTACTTTTGTCTAAATTATATGTCGATACGTGAAAGCTGTGCAATTTATTTATGTTCTACTTCTCTATATTACGATTTTGACCTAACAATAATGCATAACTATAATTCCCAATATGGCTTGCATGCGTGCGTAAGATTCAAGAGTTTTTTTATAGTTCTAAATCTAAAAAATAATAGTATTTGTATTTTTAATTATATGTGAAATATGTAAGTGAAGTGTAATTTATATTTTATCATAAATACGTAATTTATATTTTATCATAAATACGTAAATACTATTTATTATAAATTATATATGCTTGTATACTAGAAGATAAATGACATTTCTTTTCCTTATAAAAAACTTTTTTTCTTAAGTTTGGCAGTTATTGCAGTAAAATAAAGCGTATTTATACAAAATTGATTATTTAAGAATAGATTAAATTTAATGATCATATTAATAGACATTTATCAAATTACAAATTAATTATTATAAGAGGAAAAAAACTAGTAGAGAATAAGGTGCAAATGTGAAAACGTTCTCTAAACGTATAATCTCCTGTTACAAAAACATTTATAACTACTGCGAAACTAGACAAAAACACGTCATCGTGAAAGGTTATCAGATACTACGTTTTAGTTTACGTCATAGTATAGTTTATCAATTGTAAAGAGAATCATTACAAATGATATCGAGATTCCCTAAGTCATATTGGGTATAAGTTATGTCTCAATGTAAGAACACATTGCTTTATATTATAATTATTGGCATAATGTTTTTTTTTAATTATACATTACATGTGTGTATTTATTAGGGGTGTGCGAGTAACCCGAAAATGACGGGTACTCAAGTCTCGGGTTCGAGACAGGAACTATTTTCGGGATCGGGTTGAGACCCGAATGTTTGTAATGTTCTTGTACCCGAATTTAAAATCGGGTCGGGCAGTGATCATAGATTTAAAAATTTTTTAATGGCATAAATGTTATGCTTCTTTATGATTTTTTATTCGAGTTTTTCACTAAAAGTTTTTAATTTCGCTAAAAGTTTATAAGTGAAAAACACGAATAAAAAATCATGAAGAAGTATCACTTAAAATTATTTTTAACGATATAATGTTTGTAATGTTCTGATACCCATAAATTTCGGGTACTCGTTTTTAAATTCGGGTGCCCGGAAATTTACGGGTACCCGAATATTACAAATATTCGGATCTTGATTCAATCTCGAAAAAAATTTCCGATCCGACCCGAACCCGAAATCTCCTACATCTCTAGTATTTACTATTTTAGCTAACAATTTTATTTTGGTTTTTTTATTATTTGTAATATTTTTTTCATGAATTATATGAAATAACATAATTTTAATATACAATTTATTATACATTTAAAAGGCTGACATTTTAAATATTCAAAATATTATTAATACATTAAAAATATTAATACAAGCATTTAAATATTAAATATTTGCATTAATAGATTAACATACTAGTCGTAGAAAATTGTTTTAAAAAGACTTTACGTTTGTACGCTAATCAAATGTCAATCTCTGTTAAAATAAACAATAGCTGTGCGAGAGAATTTCTATTACTAGTAAATAAAATGTCGTTCCACTTTTCTCACATGAGAAATCTTTTGCCTCAGACGACACTTGCCGGTCCGATGAGTTTACCTGCGCGAACAAACACTGTATCCAGCAACTGTGGGTTTGTGACAACGACAACGATTGCGGAGACAACAGCGACGAGAAGGGTTGTGGACCGATAACGTGTCATCCTGGCACTGATTTTGCGTGTTCAGAGAATTATTGCATAACATCGCGATGGAGATGCGACGGTGCCTACGATTGTCCAGATCAATCCGATGAGATGGGATGCAAGGTATTTCATCTTCATAGTCTCGTCAAGTACCGAATAATTGAAAATGTTTACGCGATGTTAAGAACATAGAAACTTGAGAAGAAAATAATAGGATACAATTTACATAATATCGCATTGCACACAGATCTGACATTTCTTGAAATTTCTTTTAAATTCATCCCTTTTAGGATATTGAGAATGGGAAGAAGATAAGCCACTGTGAGAACAAGGAGTTCGATTGCGACGATGGTGTTACTTGCATCCATCAGACTTGGGTATGCGACGGCGAAAAAGACTGTCCCAATGGTGCGGATGAATCCCCACAGAGATGCCACAATGTAACTTGCAGACCCGATCAATTTCAGTGCGAAGATCGACGTTCGTGCATCTCAGGTACTAACTGCATATTTAAAGATGTAATATTTCTGTAAACTATTCAAAATTGTCATTATGTTAAACATAAAATTACAATGAATTATGTGATAACATAAACGATAAAATGATAAATTAATGAAAAATCTTGTTTTTTTGTTAATAAATAATAGTATATTTTATGTAAATAGAAGACGGCTGTAAGATTAAATTTAATGTTTATGTTACGTTGAGATTTAAAAAATCAATATGTTATAAAAACATGTAATAAAAAACAATTAATATGTTATAGAAATAGTGTACATAATTTTTTATCATGTCAGTTTTAAATAAAGAATTTATCGTTTTACATGATAGTCGTACAAATCTTTCTGTACATTTCGGATTTTCAACGATTTATGATATATGTTTAGGTCATCTGTATTGCAACGGTAAAGCCGAATGCTCCGATGGAAGCGACGAGAAGAATTGTACAAGCAAAATCGTAAGCTGCGATCCACGAATTCAGTTTGAGTGCAGCGAGGGCTCATGTATTCCTCTAGAAAACGTCTGCAACAAAAACCCAGATTGCATCGGCTGGGAGGATGAGAGTGCCGAGCTCTGCGACGTGAATGAATGTGCAAAAAATAACGGTGGATGTTCGCAGATTTGTGTCGATTTGCCTATTGGTTACCGATGTGACTGCCGTACGGGTTATAGACTTATCGACAATCGCACGTGCGATGGTATGAACAAAGTTGCATTTCTAAATGTTAATACAATATTTCCTTAAGGTTTCTTTTATCGCACCTCTTAGCTCTACATTAAAGCTGTTAAGAGATTACTTTATTTTTTAGATATTGATGAATGCTTGGAACCGGGTAGCTGTTCTCAATTTTGCCATAATGAAAAAGGTGGTTTTAAATGCAGCTGCGCTAGCGGTTATCTTAAAGATCCGCGAAATTTAACACGTTGTAAAGCCGCGGAGGGTCACGCAAGTTTGTTATTTGCTCGTCGACATGATATTCGAAAAGTAGCTCTAGACCGTCAAGAGATGACTGCTATCGTTAATAATACTAAAATGGCAACAGCTTTGGATTTTGTCTTTCGCACTGGAATGATTTTCTGGAGCGACATCAGTGAAAAGAAAATTTACAAGTTTGTTATAATTTTCTTATGACTAGAAAAAAGTCTCTGTTATTAAGTTTCAAATATTAAGAGATACATTGATAAAATGACATATTTTTTTAGAGCTCCAATAGATGAAGGAAATGAGCGCACAGTCGTTATCGAAAACGATTTTACCACATCAGATGGATTGGCAGTTGACTGGATTTACAGTCACATTTATTGGACAGACTCTGGAAAAGATACTATCGAATTGGCCAATTTCGAAGGAAATATGAGGAAGACTCTGATACGAGATCGCATTCAAGAACCTAGAGCGATAGCATTGAATCCATTGGAAGGTTGGATGTTTTGGACAGACTGGAGCGACGAGGCTCGTATTGAACGAGCCGGCATGGATGGCACTCATCGATCGGTAGGAAACGGAAATATTGGAAATGATATTAATTAAAAACTAGCGTTATTCTTTCTCTCTTTCTCTCTCTCACTATTATTGGAGAGTATATGTGTCAGCTGAAAAATAATGCACAGTTTCACGTAACTCGTAAACACAAAAGTGTAATTTATTGGTTACAAAAACGTACTATTACTTTTCAACGTAGCCATTTACACATTTACAGCTACACATTTCTCCTAACGGTGGATCAGTATTCTCATCCGGGTAATATAAAATTTTTATGGTCTTTGCCTGATATACAACTTCACTGCGTCCTTCACTTCATCATCTGTGATAAAATAAATTTCCTTAAGGTTTCTCTTTAAATTTAGAAAGAAGTAAAAATTGCAAGGCGCTTAATCCATCAGTTCCTCTCCACGAGATTTTATTGCACCTTATTCACAGTATTTCAATTAATAATTTCATTATTATAAACGACTTGTAAATGACGATGAATGTCACTAAAATTTTTCGGATGATAAAATGAAAGACACAATGAAGTTATGGATCAAGAAAAGATCACCAGAATTCTTCATTGACTGAATGAATAAACTAGTTCACCGTTGGGAAAAATATATATCTGTGACCATGTTGGAAAGTCTTGTAATCAATAAAATGCATTTTTATGTTTTATTTTAATATCTCTTTTTGTTTACGAGTTACGTATGGACTTTATATTACTTTTCGGCTGATCCGCGTATATTATTTAATAAGCATCATAGAATTAAAAAATTTTTTTTAATTCAATTACTATCTCTTGTTTTAACGTGTATGCATGCACATGTGCATTTGACGATGAAGAACTTAAGTAACAATTTACAATTGCAATTAAATGATTACTTATATTTATTTTAAATTGCTTTTTTCTGGAGTTGCGGATTTTTTCTAACTGGTGTCTCTATAAATCAGTTTGAAAAAAGCAATTATGAATCATTAATAAAGCACACAAATAATTATGTTTTTTTGATCAATTTATCTTGACTTTTAACAAGAGTTTATTGCAGGTGATTGTCGGTAATGATGTCAAGTGGCCTAATGGGTTAGCTTTAGACTTGATTGGCAAGAGAGTATATTGGGTAGACGCAAAATTGAACATCATAGGTTCCTGTAATTACGACGGTACCGGTAGACGAACAGTACTATACTCTCCCGAAAGTCTTAGGCATCCCTTCAGTATAACAACCTTCGAAGATTACGTATACTGGACCGATTGGGATAAGGAAACAATTTTTAAAGCTAACAAATTCACCGGCAAAGAAGTAGAAGCCGTTACGTCAATCAGAACGCTTCAGCATCCGATGGTAGTCCATGTATATCATCCTTACAGACAGCCTGATGGAATGAATCAATGTCAAGCTGTCAATGGACATTGCAGTCATCTATGTTTGCCCGCGCCTAAAATCAACTCTAGATCACCACTATTATCGTGCGCCTGTCCGGACGGTTTACGATTATTACCTGATGGATTGATGTGTGTGGAAAATGGTGAGTCAGTCACGAGGATATTACAATTGACGAATAACCTTCCAACACTGAATTACTACGCAATTTTCAACTGCTTCGTCATAGCAACAAATTTATAAGAGACAAAGTACAAATTATTTATAATTTAATCATATTTCTTTAGCATAATAGTCTTTTAAATTAAAAAGACTAGATGTTTTTAAATTATACAATATTAAAAGTCATTTTTTTAATATTTTGGTAACAGACGTTATATATCACAAATCAAAATCTTTTTTTTAAAAGAATAATAGACAATTATGGAAAGCTGTTCGTCAATTTATGATAAATCTGTTATGGATCTTTACAATATAGCATATTATGAGAAAGAAATCTATATTTTTGGATAGCATTGCATGTCGTTGGTGCATTTTAATTTATTAATGCTTATTATGCAAAAAAATGCTCAAAATGTCATTTTTTTTTGTTTAAAGTCCTCTATATTCGGTAGTTATTATGCTCATATGCAGACAACACGCATCTAATTAGTAACATTGATATCTCATATAACAATTGTCACGTAATGATAAATCACGTAGTGATAAATCATTTTGCATGATCATTTTTATAAAAAAATGTATGAAAAGAAATTTATATGAAGTATAATATGAGAACGTGCAAGTGCTCGGATGCGAAAAAATTGCGAAAAAGCGTGTGTATTTTTAGTGCACAAAATAAATTATTTCGGATGCATAAAAATTTAATTTTTTTATTAACGTTCAATAATTGCTAAAATGTTATGCGCTCATTATTTACGTTGTTTCATTTATTTGCCTTCGTGTTGCATGAATTTGGGATATTCCAGTTACTAGGACCATAGCGCCGTCCACGCAAACACCCATGATGCCGTTCCAGAGGCTCAAACCTCTGAATGTTACTACGACTGCCAGTAAGTTTAGTTGAATGATATTTCATTAATATTCACAGATCTTTTGGGGATATGTTAGCTTTTATGTAACTATCATAAAATTAATTAATCATTTGAACATCTATTAATTTATGGTGATTCATTTTGAAATACATTTTAGATTGGGCTTCTTAAAACCACTAATTAAAATATATTAGCGTAACTTCATTATTTAAAATTAAAATATTGAATGCTGAATCAGAGACTTCTTTATTTTTGAGAAAATAGATATTATTGCATTAAGTCTAATATATGTCAAATCTACATCATAATTTTTTTAGTATGTAGTATTATTACAAATTTCAAATCTATATATATTTTTATTGAATCGATTTGTAACTAAATTGAAGTACGAGTAAATTTCTTCCGAAATAATACATAAAAAAATATTTTTTAAGTTTTTTCTCAGAGTTTTCTAGAAATTAAACTTCATAGAAATACAGAAACTATATTTCATTTTTTCCTTATTTTAAATAAATTTTAATAAATCAGTGATATAAATATACGTGGAAAATAGGAAATCTAAAATAAATAAAGATTTTTCATATTTTTATTAAGGAAACATTAATTTTGTTTATTAAAAAATCCATAAATAAAAAGTTATTTGCTATATCTAAAGTAATATATTGAATTAATATTTATTATTTATCTAGAAAAATAGATTGATTACAATCGATTATTTAATTATTCATATCATACAATTTTATATATCATACATATATAACTTATTTATAATCTTCTATAATATTAAATTGTAGAAAGATTATTAGATATATTAATATTACCCTGCTTGTATAATATGAATGTGCATGTATTTTTTTCTTAAAAATGTGCAATCTACATACTAAATGGCTTAGTTAGTATTGTTTAGATTTTTACTGTATTTTTATAATTATGACCATTGTATACACTACAAAAATGTATTTATTAAGTTTTTACTAATTAATTGTATTAATTCTGCTACAGTAATGAATGCGCTGGAATGGGAAAAGATTTTTGGGACTCTTTACATTTGAATATCAAATTTATGTTTTGGAATTTTCACATTGAATATGCTATTTCTAGATCCATTATCATCAGGAGATGCAGATGGAAAAGGAAACTCAATAACTGAATCTACAGATCCTGGTTTAGTCGCTGGCATCGTGATAGGTGTAGTGTCCTTAGGACTGTTATTACTTGCACTTGTTGCAGTGCTGTGCTACAGGCATTATCTTCATCGTAATGTTACTAGTATGAACTTCGATAATCCCGTCTATAGAAAGACTACAGAAGATCAATTTAGTCTTGAGAAAAACAGATTCCCACTCCCTGCAGCTACAGTTGGAGAAGAGGTAAAAGTTTCGAACTCTTATAGTTATTTGAATTAATTTTTATCTAAAAGATGTTAAAAAGCAATTTTTATGAATTATGATATTGAAAGAAATAAAATTTCAAAATGTTTTTTTAATAAAAAAAATGGTATATTTGTTTCAGGCTCAAGAACCATTGACAAGTCCTGGAACAAATGATTATGTTTAAGACTCAGTCTGTCAATATATAAAAGATTCAACAGGCTACAGAAGCACTATATCGACCAAGTGATAAAATGTAAAGAAAGACAAGGTATTTGCGTTAAAAGAGCCTGTCCAAACGCATCATGCCTGCGCTCGCTCGCAAGCCTGCCAACAAACTGTGATTATGTTAATTTTTTTTGTATCTCTATTTCTTTACAAACTTTAGCACTTTGTCACTCAAATATATGTATATTATGCGTGCAACATTTAGATTTGCTCTAGGACGTAAAGGGAGAAATATCTAGAGAAACTGTTGCCAAATAATCTATCTTTATGTAGCCAAATAGTTTAATGACAACTTAACTCTTATATCGCCTTTTTGGTATGGCATATCCAGCTTTTCTTCTAATATTCTTTTTTTTAATGCTTTTTCCATTGCTTATAACTTTTTTTTATTAATAAAGATATATTTGCTTGATACTATTACGTTGATTGAAAAAAAATTGTTTCTTTATTTTTATGAAAGTTATAAACAATCGAATTGGATTGGGTATGCGATACTTAAGTGTATTGTTCCCGTAATGTGGCGTTTAAGAGTTAAAATTCCTACTTAACATTTTCTCTATTTAGTTAAGTAATATATAATTTGTAATATAGAAATTTTTAGAGCGATTTAGCATGGCCTGGCGCACATAGCGTATGATTTTACATGCGCTATGTATATGTAAGAATATCAACTTGTTTAATTATTTATTCAGAAATATACACAATGGACGTTTTTTGAATATAATTTTTAAGTACTCAAGATATTACTTTTTTGAGTAATATCTTATAGAAGTCATATGTAAATAATGCGAAAAATCTCAATCATATATTATTAAAATTATTTAAAAATTACATGATGTTAAAATGAAAGTTGTAACGTTAAATGTATGCTGTGAAACAAACTATCACTCAATTAAAGTGGAATAAGAGGCTATAATTATTATTTTCTTTTATTTTGAGTTATTCTCTTTCTTTTGTTATGAGAAAGAAAGACCTCTCTCTTCCTATAAAAGACATATTTATATGTATATAAATAGCAAAATGTTATAGCAATTTACTGACAGATTGGTAACAAATTTCATCAGATTCCCATTGTAAATCCATAGTCTTCTGTGTCTGCATTAAGCTCGGGATAAAGCTTGCTGATATACTATGTTAGCAGATTGTTAGCAGAAATTGAGCAGGATCTGCGAGCAATTTGGCAGCAGACTAGTAGCGGAAACCGAGCAAATATATTCTTGCTTGATTTCTGCTTTCAATGATTGCATAGCATATCAACTGGCTTCGTTATATTTCGAGTTTGTTGACATTGTCAAGTTTTAGACGTTGTGAAATTTGTTGTCTTTCTGCCATCAAAAATTGATTACATACTCTGCTCAAATCTGTCTCTGCAGGTTTGATTACCTAATCAAATCTGCACAGACAGATAATATTACATCCTTTTTTAATTTTATTACATGTTTTAATCTCTTCTCTATAATTTATATTTAACAATATATTTATACATAATCAGCTTCGTGTATTAATTAAACAAACAGAAAGTTAAAAAGCGCGAATTATAATGAGAAATAGTGTATGTTCAGAAGAAATTTCTCCTTTTATGTCTGTTTAATGCGTACAATGCCATAGACATATGTGACATATGTCAGGACTTTCCAGCAGTTGTCTGTATATTGATGGGCGGTCCATATCACTTGAAAAAAATTGCTCTATTTACAAATATTATACTATCGTTTATGTAGTAAAACGCGGAAAGAGCATTGTTGTAACGACTTGAGCTCAATGACAGTAAGTGTGACTGTGCGTTTGTTAAAAGAAACTGTTGTCAAGTACTTCAATCTATTAAAGAAATCAGTGTATTTGTATAGAATTATTGCATCGGGCTTAAGAATTTTATTTACTATATAAATATTATATAATATGTATGTGTATGTATGTGTGTGTGTATACATATGTATATGTATGTACACACACACACGCGCACGCACACACACACATGTACAAAGTGTAGCAAAAATTGAGTATAAAAGTGCTGCAATGGAAAGTGAGCGAGACTATGGAAATGAATTTCTCTTTATGTTAAAATTATAGTTAAAATACTGAGAAAATCACAATGAAATCGCGATATTTGTAATCACGAAAATCATCTGTAGACTATGGGAAAAATATTTGTTCTACTATCTTATTCGATTTGTACTATAGTACAGTTGGATAATTTTATATTATAATATTTTAAACAATTTAGATAAGTCAAATTGTAAAATTCGACTCTATTGTATAAGCCTTTATAGCTTCACAACAAAAGAAATGAAAAGGTCTCGTGATGCAATATTATTGCTAGGAGATAAAATATTAGCATGAAGATACATTCCTTATGAACAAAAAAAAAAGTCTTATTGATTACAATTATTTAAGAATTAAATTACGAAATTTGGCTTTGTAAGAACTTTCATAATTTCATAAAAAAGAGAACCAAAAAGATCTCATGAGAAAATACTTCTACGAGAATATAGAAGAATACAGAAACTCTATAAATGAGGTGCAGAGAATTGGCCTGTCATTCCTGTTGACCTTTAAGGAGTCATTACATTGATATTAAATAAAATATGCTATCCAGAATTCACAAGAAATTATTAATATAAATAATATATTATATGACTCTTTCTCTCTCTCTCTATTTAATCACAATTTATAATTGCCAAATTTCAAATTATTGGGTCAATTCTAATCAAACTCGTAAGGCTCGTAACTTGTTCTCGTAAGATTTGTAAGAACTTAAGATTGGAATTGTAATTCTACATGTATCGTAAAGTATACGATTGTTCGTAAATACTTACAATTTCTCGTAAATCTTACGGCTAGCAAAAAGTTATCTATAAAAACTTATGTAAAGTTATAAGCATTACAGTTTGTGATTTTACGATTTAACGATACGTTTAGAATTGACCCATATGTATTTAATCAATTTTTAAAAACTGTTGTTTTATTATTTAATTTTTGCAAACAACTTCTGTAGTACATTTATACTTAACTTTTATAACACTTTGTATATATGTGAAGGATGTTCTAGTAAAAATATGTATCAGTACTGTAAGAAATCTTACAACGATAATAACAATTTATTTAAAACTTTGTTATAATTTACTTGTAATATATTTTATGTTTTAAAATTTACGTACGACTTTTTGTTTTGTTTTTTCACTTCGGTTGTCAATAAATTATTTTCGTTGTTTTTACTAATCATGCACCTACATATTCTTCTAACTCCATAGTCTCTACTTTTGTCAGACATGATGACTTCTTCTGCATATCCGCTTATATATAAAACTTACAGTTTTTAACGGTTTTACAAGTTTTTTATGAAATAATGACGATCGTAAATCCAATGAATGTAACTTTTTGAACTATTTTTATTGTACTCTTTTATGAATTCCTAAAAAATTATAGAATTATAGAAAAAAAGATATTAAAGAAGTAGCGCAGAATTTTCTATTTTATCTGGATGTGTCATCATGTCATATGATAAATTTTTCTTTTATTTATTCGTTTTACTAAGAAATATCAGTCTATAATATTTAAAATCAATACATTAGTTATAAAACGTAAAATTTTTACTTTAGAAGTGTGAATCAATTTAGGAACTAATTTTTAATCGCAATGTTACATTAATAAATTATACTATTGGAATTAGAAGAGGTTGTTATGATAAAGATACTCTCGATAATTTGCTTTCCGAAAAGTAACGATCAAATAAAGTTGTCTCATTCATGTTCTGGATTACTTTGAATTGGATTCTTGGTAGAGAAAATAGATGCGTAACTCTACGCCACGATCGCCACACATATGTACTCACTCACGTACATGTATTTATAAAAAAAGTATTGATTAGAATTTATCACAAATATTTTTAGAACATTCCAAACATTCTTCATATAAAAATCTAATATAAATAGAAAAAAAGAATAGGAAGTTATATATAATGAATACAATTACACAGCGTGTCTCATAATTATTATAATGTTAAAATTATATTTTTAATAAAAATTGGAATAGTGCGGGGGTATTTAATAAGTTATTACTTTTAATTTTTCAATTTAATTAACTTGTTAAATTTTGAAAATTTCCAAAAAGAACATTGTCTTAAAATATTGCTGAGTCATATCTTTCTTTGGAATGTCCTACATATATATATGCGTAATATATTATTTATAATATATTATAATATACTATATTAAAAATGATTAAATGTGAAAAAAAATTTTATTAGATAAGATTATTAAAAGATATAATATTAGATTGATAAAGAAAGCTATGTGTACGTTGACAGATAGCGGATTGTTCTTTCAAAAAAATGTGCCAATAAATTCATGCTTTTGCTGAAGCAAAGTGATTTACAAGTCAATAATTTATACGCACTTTATCTGGTCTTGTTTCTATGGGACCAAGGTACACTTTTTACAGGAGATATAAATAGCGCGCGGTTCTACTTTTCTTTACAGGAAAATAACGTCAAATAATTGCCAAATATGAAAGGAAATAAAAGCTTAGATTGAGAATGCATGCAGAAGTATGCATAATCTCACATTCTTTTGTAAGAAAATTTATGTACCTATATTTATAACTCGATAATTTAATTCCTATATTGATTAATGAATATCTTTATATGTCACACATGCTAAACTATTGCTACCGATCTTCCACGACCGGCTGTCTGTTAACGGGGGCATGGTGTAATTGTAAGCGCAAGAAAGCAAAGTCCAAAATTAAGATATAGAGGCTTGGTGGTAATTTTAATCAAAATATAGGAGTGTGTGTGTGGTGAAAGTTGCAGTTAACTGTGTAAATCGTATAACTTGTCATAACTTAATCGCCAAAACCGTGTCAAATACATTATTTCTATGCAACGTATGTACATGTACATATATGTATGTACAATGAGATTCTGAAATAGGTCATCAAATTTTGTAGTTTATTCTTGGATCACTTAAAATCAATTTTTTTGTCAGAAATATCCAGATGTATGTGATAGTATAATTCTTGATTTATTAAATCTAAAAGCTTTTACGTAAAAGCTTTTAGATTCAACAAAAAGGATTTATTAGATAAAAAGCTTTTTCTAAATTAAACTTTCAAGACAAGAGATGGAAATAAAGGAGACTCTACACTCTCCGTTTAATTTAAAATATAATTTAAATTAATTAAATTTAAATTTTCCTAAGTGAGAATTACAAATTACATATAATAATTTACATTTTTTACAAAAAAGAAATGTAAAGAGTAATACATATTTAATTAAATATCTTTTAAAGAAAAATTAATTTCTAATTTATTAAAAAAAGAATGTGTC